AAGAAGGAGGGGTAAATGTGTGGATTTTGCGTTTGGTATTTTTTAAAAGATATGTTCCTCCGTGCACACTGGACCATAATGATGGAAAACCGTTCGTGCTTCAAAAGCATTCTTAGTAAGTCACTGTCACTTATTTTTGATGAGTGCTATTTATCGGTATCCAAATATTTTTCTTTTTTAGAAGCACTGTACACATCCTAGCTCTCTTTATACTTCGCTGACAGAATCTTTGCAAGAACTTCTGAGAGATCCTCCAATGCAGCTTCAAATTATTAATAAAAACCACCTGTGACTATAAATGCATACTGTTCCCATTTCTTAACATCTCTAAATGTGTAGTTGTTTGTATGCATTCTAGCCTACCGCTAGATACAAATGTCAAGAAGATACAGATGAAGTCCAGATTGTCTTTTTCATCTACTCAGACTGCTTTGATAAGGTATGTCAGCAACTTTACAGGTGACCTGTTTATTGATCAGGATGCTAAGCATTTGAACAGACTTCTGTGAAGTGAAGCATCGAGTTTTTTTTACTCTGCTTTGCCCACCAAAAATCATTGAAGTCATTGGTGTAGCGAGGATTAAACTTTAACAACGTCTGGGGTTGATAAATCCAGAGTTTGTGTGTATGTGGTCTGCTTTGTGCTACAATCAAGGCCTATCCCTTCAAATAGTCTGGTCCCTATTCCCCAGATAGTTCACAGACAGAGTGGGAATTAAAGCAATTGCAGGCAGAGTAGAAGACAGCCCTTTATCCAGCATGATGGGTAGACTATATCAATAAACTATGAACTATAAATAGACTGTAAAACAGGAAGGGCCAGGTAGCCTTTTCTGGTTTTATTGAGTGCTAACACCAGAACATATGAGAGCCTGCTCTTGGTAGGACAGAAGATCTGTCTCACCTGGTATCTGGTCTCCAACAGCCAGGTGCCTGAGAAAGCATGGAAGAACAGAGCAAGTGCATAGCAGTCCTTCCCTTCCGTAGTCTTGAGGAATTTGAAGCTTGTAGATCGCAGATGTTTTGCATTCGTATTTAATGACATTAGATGACCTTTCTTCCATTGATCTAATTATTTGAATCTCAAGGAAACTTGTTTCTGATGGTCATATGCTGTAATTTCCCTCTGAGTAGGAAAGTCAGAGTAGCAAATGTCATCATACCTGTGACAAAGTTATCAGTTCTTTCTATCTGAACAGAAGGGAGGGGAGTGCAAGTGTGGTTTTGCTTCAGGAAGTTAACATTTAAATGGACCTAAGCTGGCTTGGATGTTAATACATCACTGAGATAAATGGTATGGAGGAGAGTTTATTTCTTTGCTGCTACGATGCTGGCAGGAGAGTGTGCTCTGTAATTGATTAACAGGGCACAGTACATTGACTTATATGGGGAAAGCTATTATATCTCAGTAACAGGAAGGTATATATGATTCTGGTTTTAGTAAGTAGAAAATTGGATTCTGCAGGAAATAACTAAAACTGCTGAAAGAACCAAAGGTTCCCAAGGATTTTTTTTCTCTTAAATCTGTGGCATAACAGCATTTCATGTTATGAAGGAAGTTTAAATAGTGCAATATATTTAGTGGAACTTTCATACAGGCTAGAAATACTAGCTTACGTAAGCAGTCTTTTAACTTTTGTTCTATTGGACCTAAAGTCATGAGTTATTGATGAGATTTAATATCTTTTTTAACATCTATTCATTTGAAGTATAAACTTCCCCTATAATTCATACACGTTTATGGTGGATTTCCTGTATTTTGAAGCCTAAATGAGCGGGCAGATTGGGGGTGCGTGTTTGTTTTTTAAACAATGAGAAAGTGAGATATTTTTGGTTTTATTCTGTAGCTTATTAGTTGAAATCCCAAAACAAGCGTAGGAAGTGAATGCAGTTCTAAACAATAGTGAAGGAAAACTATATCAACTCTGTTTGCTTTTTCCACCCACCCCACCCCACCCCAGTACTGGCGATTCCAACCAAAGTAAGAAAGCAGAGGTCCAGATTCCATACTTCAAAAGCACTTGTACACCAAATGAAGCACATTCATGACTGACTGTAAAAATTGTGACCACAGTGGCAAATAAAGAGTGATACTCCTTGTGGGATTTTATTTTTACTTTTTGAGTATGCCAAGCTTCTCTGTCATATTCTTTTGAATCCAAGAGGATGGATTAGTGAAGTAGAGAGACAAGGCAGGCCATACGGGGGGGGGTGGGGGTGGGGGGTGATGATTTAGAAGCTAGTATTCTTTCCAAACAAGTTTTTCCATATTTCCTTCTGCATAGCTTCATCAGTAGTAGCACCAATATAGTAGCTGTCAAAATAAAACGAGGAGATTTTCTCAGTAGCAGCTGGGATCAGTAAAAGAATAGAACTTCTGATGAGCTTCTACTATTTGGAGAGGTTTTTTTCAGCTGTCTTGTTGCTTCTGAACACATTGTCTAAAATCCAGGTTTATTTTTTGTTGCAGAAGTTAAGGTTTTGCTCACATTTTATCCCTTTTTAAAAGTCTTTTTGTTATGATTTAGGATAGCTCTTTCGTTTCACAAGTTTTTTTAGAATATCGTGACCAATAGCCTCCCATTACATCCAGTAATTAATCAAATTGCATAAGTAGCAAACATTTTTGTAGCTAAATCTTTCTATTCCTAATATTCTTCATAAGGATGCAGGTTTTTCTCTCCACCAACCCCCCACACCCCAGTATAAGACTGTGGATGTGGGAAAATTGTATAAACCTAACATTTTGCTTTAAAAATGTGCTAAAAGAAAAAACAGTAAAGTGAACAAAGGTACATGTTTAACCTTTAGTTCTCATTGTTAATGAGAATATATTTTTTTCCTTAACAGTAAATATTGTGTAAGATAAGAATAGGAAAATGCTATAAAGAGATTTTGTTATGTATTTTTTAAATATTTCTGATTACGTGTTCTTCTGCTTTTAAATGTTCATTCCATTTTTACCCAATGACGGAATTAATGACAAATGACTTCAGATCTCTAGCTAGGTATCACTAATAATGAAGTGGCAGCGAGAGCAGTTTGCTAGCAGTCTTTAAGTTGGAAAACCTATTTTTATGAACTACCAGAACTACACTATAGATAAAGAAATACATGCGAAAAACTTTGTCAGGTAACTCTGTCTTTCTGTGATTATGACATTTAGGGCAACGTTTGTAATGCATACTTCAATCTGCCGCTCGCTTCTGTTCTTAACCTTGTACTACTTTGACTGAAATAACAGCAGCCTGGCACCCAGGATCTTAAAACCTAGGCCCTTGCTCCATGCTGTACCCCTGGTGCCAGGGAGGGGTCCTGTGTGACGCCGGTGTCCTGCGTGGGTGGTGTGACGTGAGCACAAGGCGTTGCACCCATCAGGCTGCAGGCTTCTGACCAAATGTGCCTGCCGTGTGGCTGCAGCCACAGCAGCAGGAGGAGGGAGGAGGGGAATCGATCCTTCTGTTTTCTGGAATAAACAATAATGCTTCAAACCATTTATCTTCCCTTGTCAAAATTCCATCATTAAATAGTGTGGTAGTGAACTTTAAAGTCATTGGAATTGTCCTTTAATTCAGTGCAAAGCAATTGCCCTTTACTCTGGCCTGTGCTTTTATGCTGATATGAATTTTGTTTTCTCCCTTAACAAACCTTGGAGATTTGTGAAAGAAACTTATTTATTTTGTTAAATGTCAAAGTACTGATTCATGAACGAATGTTCTTCTGTATTTCTGTGCTTCAGTTTCTATTGCTGTGTAAGTCATTTTATTTTTCATTACATTAAACTGGAAATTTTAGAAGACCTGCATTATAAATGACTTGATTCACTTACAATCCTTTTTTTCCCCTTAAAGTTCCTGTTTTGAGGGTAGGATTAATTCAGTCTCCACATGTGATCCGGTCTGACCAAATCACTGTTTTCTAATTGTACCAAAACTATGTGGTGTGCCTGAGCATTAAATATGCTGCCTACCAGGGGTGGTCTAATGCTTTCTAGATACATAAATTGGGGATGTTTCCACTTAAAGCAGAGCCTGCGCTGCAGTGCATGTGTTTAAAAAGGTTAGTCAAGCTGACTGGTGTAGGTTACTTTTTTTTTAGGTTATACCTGAAATGTAAACGAGTAATTTAACGGACATATTTCACCCACCTGTTGAAATAACTGAGGAAAAACTAGAACAAAGGGCAGTATATTAACTATCTAAGTATTTGAAAAATCAAAAGCCAGTTCTCTTCATTCTAATTTACATAACTTCATACAACTTCAGGAGATTTGTTTTACACTTTTTTCTTCATTAGAAAGGCAAAGATTCTCATTTTGTTTTTTTCCATCTTAGATGCTAATACCAAGTTAATCTTATTTATATGTACTAAAATAGAAGTGCTCAAATGGATTATAGAGATTATATTTTAACAAATTATTTTGTTAATTTTTTCAGTAAATCTGCAGTATTTGATAATTCGTAGGCATTTATTAATGTAACCTTTTTTATTTTCTTTTTTAAAATATCAGGTTATCGGCACTTCTATTACAGAGCTGAAAGTTTATATCTTATCTACTTCTTACGAAGCTTTCATGATAATACTTTTCTTTAGCACTACATTTTCATGTCACCAAAACCATTCCAGGTATATCAGGGCAGGCTTTTTTGTTCGTTTGTAGCATCCCTAAGGAGAGTGGTGGCCCATGGTTAGGCATTACCATTACCTAATTTTGTTCTTCATTGAAGTCTTTATTTTCTCATGTCGAGGTGTGCGTCTGTGTTTGCGGGTTTTCTTGTGGTTTTTGGGGTGGGTTTTTTGTTTGGTTGGTTGGGTTTTGTTGGTTTTGTTTGGGTTTTTGCGGTTTTTTACTGAAATTTTGGGATGTAGCCACATGCATTCCACATGTACAAAAAAAACAAGGCTGTGTTATTACCCAAAAGAAAAATAAAGGGCACATTGCCACTTAATATGTATGGATAATTAACAGCATAAAGTGAATGTGTTTTCTTGTGTTTCAGAGAAGTGTGATGAACCTCTGGTCTCAGCATTACCCCACTCCTCCTTCAGCAGTTCCTCATCTATGACAAGCAGCTACGTGCCAGGGTATGCCAAGTTAAACAAGAGAGGAGGTAAGGGGCGTTCTCTAACTTAACATTCAGATATTTCAAGAAAAAAACGATGAATGATATTTTTGATATGAAAATGCTTTTTATGTAAAATATTATTGCTTATATTTGTTTTAACTAAGTTTTAGCTGTCTGACAGCCTGTTTTTGTAAACGGAATGCATTTGTATTTCATTGTATGTGACAGTAATTGCACTCCATTGCACTGCAGGGAGAAATACACTACTAATAGCATGTAGCAGCACGGGCCAAATGCCTAATGTTGATGGAGTCATATGGTACATAATTGACTTCAGTTAAAAGGGCATACCTGTGTTCGTCGGGTATATGAACATTTGCAAGGTCATGGTTGTTGGAGCAAAACTGAACAGCTTTGATGTGCTTTGTTGATTGAACTTGTTTCCCACCTTAGCAATGACAGCTGTAATTCAGTTTTTCCTAGCACTACGGGAACTTTGCCTTTTGCAGGTATTTCTGTAACGCAATTAGGTGTTACTCAGAAGTGACAAAGCCACCTCAATTTTGTTGGTTGGAAGAATAGGTGCGTAAGTTTGATGGTCTACCTGGTCTAATTATATCCTTAGGGCTAGGCAAATTTATTTCATAGTCTGAACACAAGTCTCTACCTTCACCCATAGGAATTTTCATAGTTTTTCTTGATATTTTAGGTGACTGTAGATATACCATTTTGATATCAATTTCTAAATTAATTTCACAGGAATGATACTTTTAAACATGAAACTTAGATTAACAGAAAAATCAGTATTCTGAATACTATTGATTTTATTCTTTTCTAAATAGTATCAATCTAAAAGTCCTAAAATCTGAAATTTAACAGATTCTTGTGAATCAATACCAAAATTTTATCTTCCTCCCAAAATACATGTCAAAGCTATAATGAATTGACTTAATGAACCTAGAATTTAGAAATACTTTCACTGTAGGGATGAAGAAGAGAGAGCAAGTGACTACAGTGCCTCAGTCTTCTAAATCCTGAAGATCTGTAATAATGGCAAAACACCAGACTTGTAGAACGTTGGCTTATTTGCACTGCTGCTTTATTTTTCCTTCTTCTGCAGGCATTATGTTGCTCCTGCCTGGGTACCATATTCTGCCTCCTAAAAAACAAAAAAACATTGAAACAAAAGCAACAATCTTTTCTCTTTGGGTGTTTGTAAACAAAATCTGAAGTACTATCAAATGATGGAACACTCTTACGGTTAAAACCAGAATTTGTTGCATTGAAATCATAGCCTAGGCTGCCCATGTTTTCCACCAATTTTTTATACTACTGTTTGTGCAGCTTCCAAGCCAAAAAAAAAAAAAAAAAAAAAAACCCTTACAAATTTATTTTTTTTTTTTTTTTTTTTTTTTTTTTTTTTTTTTTTTATAAATGGTTGTTTTTCATTGCCTGGAACCGTACAACCGACTTTTCATGCTTTTCAGGCTATGCACCAACAAGTTTTGACTTTACCAATGCCCAAGTAACATGATTCCTCGGTTGTTTTGTTTTCATTGGTTTCATGCTAAAAAAAAAAAAAAAAAAAAAAAAAAAAAAAAAATCATGGCTCTAGCTGGGGTGGGAGCTATGGTGCGTTGTCAGTGTCCCAGACTCCTTACTGGGAGGAGGATGCAGATGGATGAGTTAAGACCTGCTGGTCAGACTAAAGGGCAAGGAGGAAATGCATAGGCAGGGGGAGCAAGGACAGGTATCCTGGGAAGAGTATAGGGACGTTGCCCAGTTGTGTAGGGATGGGGTCAGGAAGGCCGAGGCGTGGCTGGAGCTGAACTTGGCAAGGAGGAAATGCATAGGCAGGGGGAGCAAGGACAGGTATCCTGGGAAGAGTATAGGGACGTCGCCCAGTTGTGTAGGGATGGGGTCAGGAAGGCCGAGTAGCTGAAACCCAGAGGCAGAACCTGGACCTCAGAGCTTCTCAGTGGTCACCAGCAGGCTGGCCGGCGACCTGCCTCTTACTTCTGACCACTAGTCAAAGTTGTTGAAGTGAACAATTACAGCCAAAAGTTATTTTTAAAATGCATTCAACCAGTTCTAACTGAGTGCACCAAATCCCTAGAGCCTTCAACAGGAGTTCAACATTTTATAGAGATTTTATTTTTGGGAGCCATATTTAAATATTTACAATGTTATACAAAGGAGAATGAAAGAAAAAAAACAGTGACATGCCATAAAACATTTAAGAAGCCTGTAACTCAGCTTTTTTTTTTTTTCCCCAAAAACTATACAGTGAACTTTGCTATTGTTTTCACTGAAATACAGAGTACTACAACATCCACTGTAAAAGTATAAATTTAGACATTATTATGTCAAAAAAATACAACAAAAGAACACTGAGGTTAAAAGTCAAGTACTCCAAAGTCAGGGAATTCAAGAAATAATGCTGTCGGTGTACAACTTAATCAATCCCTTCAGGCTTAATGAAAAAACATTTCTCAAGATCTTGGCACTATTCAGTGAGCAAGCATTCTAGCATTGTTGTGGTCGGTCTTGCACATGTTTGATCCCAGGCCTTGTAAGTGCCACCTAAACAGAACTGAACCAAACACCAAGCTGAGTGGTGCAGTTGATTCGCAAGAAGGAAGAGATGCAATTCAGAGGGACCTAGATAGGGTTGAGGAGTGGGCCCATGTGAACCTCATGAAGTTCAACAAGGCCAAGTGCAAGGTCCTGCACCTGGGTTGGAGCAACCCCCAGTATCGGTACAGGCTGTGGGATGAAGGGATTGAGAGCAGCCCTGCAGAGAGGAGTTGGGGGTCCTGGTGGATGAAATATTGGATATGCACTGGCAACATGTGCTTGCAGCCCAGCAAGCCAACCGTATCCTGGGCTGCATCAAAGGAAGTGCGGCCAGTAGGTCGAGGGAGGTGGTTCTGCTGCTCTACTCCACTCTGGCGAGACCCCACCTGGAGTACTGCATCCAGCTCTGGAGTCCTCAGTATAGGAAGACATGGACCTGTGGAATCGAGTCCAGAGGAGGGCCACAAGAATGATCAGAGGGCTGGAAAACCTCTCCTATGAGGAAACACTGAGAGAGCTGGGGTTGTTCAGCCTAGAGAAGAGAAGATTCTGGAGAGACCTTATTGTGACCTTTCAATACTTAAAGGGGGCTTATAAGAAAGATGGGGACAAACTTCTTAGTAGGGCCTCTTGTGATAGGACAAGGGGTAATGGTTTTAAACTAAAAGAGGGTAGATTCAGACTAGATATAAGGAAGACATTTTTTATGATGAGAGTGGTGAAACACTGGAACAGGTTGCCCAGAGAGGTAGTAGATGCCCCATCCCTGGACGTGTTCAAGGTCAGCTTGGATGGGGCTCTGAGCAACCTGATCTAGTTGAAGCTGTCCCTGCTCATTGCAGGGTGGGGTTGAACTAGATGACCTTTAAAGGTCCCTTCCATCCCAAACTATTCTATGGTTCTATGCCAATGACAACATTGACGGGGTAGGATCTGCTTGAAGTTAACTGTATGTGTTTTCAGGGAATGGGGTGAGGGGAGCTGTGCAATTAAGGGGGCCAAGCTGTAGACATGGGAGACTCTGGGGCAGGTGGTGCCCTGGCCACTGGGGCACCACCCCTGGCCACAAGCAGGGTGAGCAGTGCTGGTGGCACCAGCAGGTTCTGCCAGTTGTCTGGAGATCATCACATAGGAAGGGACGAGCCAGGTCTGATGTCAAGCCAGGAAGCAAAATCCATAGGTGGGGAAGAACACAAGATGGGGCTGGGCATGGATACACCTATGATGTGGCTCAGGTAGAGCCTGAAAGCTGAAATGGGGCCCCCAGGCTCACAGGCAGGGTGAGTGGGTCCGCCACTGGGTAGGGCAATTACGGACTGTTGGTACCCTCAGGGCCCTGACATTGATCTTTGTTTATTAGTCTGCAGCTCCACACGTCAGGATTCTCTGTATGTGTGTGTTTTACACGTGTAGGAATCTTGTTCTTTGATCTCTTTTTCTCTTGTTTTCTGTTCTCTAAAATCAGTCTTAACCAGCTCCCAAGGTTGCTTTCTTTTAGTGACTAGTAATTGACCTGGTGAGTTGCTTATAGCCCTGCTCCCTCTGGTACCACCCTGTGCCTGTACTTTCAATACCTCTGCTATCATCCTATGATTGTAGTTCTGTACGCTACATTTTTATTCTACAGTAATGGTTTGTTATCTGCAGAATATCTACTTCAGGTACAGAAATATATCAAAATTGTTACACCGATAGTCACTAGCCCATGCAATCGCAAAGCTAAGTTTAAGGTAAAACAGATTACACTGTGTTACCTGGTTGTTAGAGAATTGCTATTACAACTAAATGAGCTAAACAGAAGCTGAAGACTAGCTTAGAGAAAATATGACTGACAAGCTCTAGTCCTGCAGCCCTGCAGAGTTGATGCAAAGTCTGTGGCCTGTCAGGAGCATTGGCAATTTCTTTGGTTTTAGGCCTGCAGACTAGTAGATAACTGTTTATTGCTTCAGAAATTTAGAAGATGACTTCTGAATGAGAATAAATGCCGTTTTATGCTGGTTTCGGGATTTTCCTTTGGTGTTACCTTTATTTTGTTACGTGCCTTTCAGTAATTCTCATTCTTTCTGTTGCGATATGTCTGAACGTGGGTTTTGATAGGCTGTTGGGTCCCTTAATTTATGTTTTCAGCTGTTCATTGTCCAGATGAAAGCAGTTAAGGAACAGTTAAATTCTAAACCACTGCTCATCATTTGGGTTGAATTCTGCTGTATCTGATCACAGTTATGTTCATTTGCATTCTATTTGCTGTTCTAAAATAGAAAAAAGTCACTAGAATCATTTTAATAAACTAAAGCTTTGCATCAGCTTGGTGGGCAGGATCTTCAAATTGATTTTAGATGACTATTTCTCCTTTTAGTTTGCTAGACTACTTATTGTATTGTAAGTGAAAGGCAAATCAGACATTTGGAGTTTAATTTTTTTTTCCTTTAATTATATTTACCCTCCCCTTTCTTACCCTTATAGTTACT